TTACATTATGCACAAAATGGTTGTATTTGAGTCTTTGTCCTCATGGAACTTCTTGGGGACCAGTGACAGACCTGGTGCATTTTCCACTGATATACAATCATGGACAGTGTAAATAATATCAAGTGTTTGTGGATTTATACCTTCTTACCCGTCCCTGCTAGAGGGGAGGAAACCTGAGAAGGGGCAGGAATGTGAGCTAGCAACCCCTTCCTTTCCTCCCTCCTCCTAGCGTTTGATAAGGTGAGGTCAGGTGACTGTACAGTGGGCTGTGGGCGGAAACAGATTTGCTGAAAAGAGATGAGGAAGGAAGACATCCCAAGGCATGTTTGGAACATTCAGGTTAAATGCAGCATAGCATTATTCAGCAATAAAAAGGAACCAAGTATTGAACCTTGAAAATATTATGCCAAGAAACCAGTCACAAAAGACCATATATTGTGTGATTCCATTGATATAAAATGTCCCAAATAGGCAAATCTATGGAGACACCTCATTCCAACCTATTTTTCCAGCTTCCTCTTTTTCTCTGCCTGCCCTCAGCATCCCATGCAGCATTTGCTCTGTCCTCAACAAATGACCCACTGTTTGCTGAAAAATCGATGTGCTTTCAGATCTCTACACCTTTGCCACCTTTATTATCTTCCAGTACATGTCCATTCTTCTAGGCCCAGCTTAACTAGCAACACCAAACTAAACTGAACAATCCTGGCGCCTGCTGAGAGGAGCTCATCCCCACTAAAAAGTGAGCTCAGATCTGGAATAGCATAGAACATCCAGGCTGGAACCAGACCTGGAGGTTATCTAGTCCTAGTTCAGTCCCTTCATATGATAGAGGAGGAAACTGAGGCCCCAAGAGGATGAATGGCCTGTCAAGTCCTGAAGCACACTGAGGGCAATCCCAGGCACGCCTCATACAGGGCTCTTTGCCTTGCACTTCAACCTTTCTGCAGTTTTTTTGTTTCGTTTTGTTTTCGGGTTTTTTTTTTTTTTTTTTTTTTTTTTGAGACAGAGTCTCACTCTGTTGCCCAGGCTGGAGTGCAGTGGCGTGATCTCAGCTTACTGCAAGTTCTGCCTCCTGGGTTCACGCCATTCTCCTGCCTCAGCCTTTCGAGTAGCTGGGACTACAGGCGCCCGCCACCACACCCAGCCATTTTTTTTTTTTTTTTTTTTTTTGTATATTCAGTAGAGACAGAGTTTCACCGTGTTAGCCAGGATGGCTCAATATCCTGACCCATGATTCGCCTGCCTCGGCCTTCCAAAATGCTGGGATTACAGGCGTGAGCCACCACGCCTGGACTCTGCAGTTATTTTTGATGGAACAAATATTTATCAAGTATTTGCTGTGTACCCATATTTTATGATGTCAGCCCATTCCTTAAAAACTCTTACATGGGCTGGGCACAGTGGCTCCCACCTTCATCCTTAATTTGGGAGGCTGAGGCAGGTAGATTACTTGAGGTCAGGAGTTCAAGATCAGCCTGGCCACATGGTGAAACCCCATCTCTACTAAAAAGACAAATGGCCAGACATGGTGGCACACACCTATAATCCCAGCTACTCAGGTGTCTGAGGCAGAAGAATCGCTTGAACTTGGGAGGCAGAGGCTGCAGTAAGCCAAGATCGCACCACTGCACTCCAGACTGGGCAACAGAGCAAGACCCTGTTTTAAAAAACAACAAAACAAAACAAAAAAACAGTTCTCACGTGGTTCCTCATTATCGTCATGCAATAGGGAACATAAGCCTTTTCATAGCCCAGCCTGTCATTACAATTCCAGCTTCACTCCTTGCTACTCCCCCTCATATCTGGCCATCCACCATTTTGAACTGGTCAGCATAGTGTAGTAAAGTCAAGACGTGCAAAGACTTCAAAATCAAAGGCCTGGGTGTGAACCAGTTCTTTCCACTTACTTAACCACGTTATCTTGAAAAATTTAATTCATCTTTCAGAGCCCCTGTTTCATCATCTGTAAAACTGGGATAACAAGACTTCTCTTCTAAGATCATTGACAGGATTACTTTGGTTATTTAAAAAGCATTTCTGTGCCATTACTAGTAATGTTTATCATTTTAAATGATGACAACTATTACTTTCCTCAGAAAGCTTCTCTGCCCTCCCAACATTGTGGAAGGTGCCCCTTTAGCTCATGTGTTTACCTCCTAACAGTGTAAATTCCTGTTGAATGTTCATCTCTACCACTGAGCGTGAGCTCTTGGAAAACAGGACCATTGTTTCTCATTCAACTTGGTAACTCCGAAACATTGATGATAACCAGGAAATGCTTGTTGGTTGAAAGGAAAAGGAGGAAGAAGTAAAGCAATAAGCAAGGTGCTGTGGGGGCCATGAACATGGCAAAGGCTAAGCCCGTACCGTCCAGATGTAGAACCTCTAGCTGGACAGACAAATTGCAGATTGCTGTATTTGAGTCTCCTGTAAGGATAAAGTATGACATATTTATGAGAGGGGAAAAGAACTTTTAAAAAACTGATTTTTCCCTTATTGTGGGCTATATCATACATACGGGAATGCATAAAAGTAGTATATAGAGTTTGAGGAATAAAATGAACACTCATATAACCACCATGCAGGACGAGAAATAGAAAAGAATTGCAGAAGCTCCACCCTCCCCGTATGTCTCCCCTGTCACAGCTTCCTTCCTCTCCCCAAGAAGTAACTACTATCCTGGCTTTCATGATAATCATTTCCTTGCTTCTATCTTTATGACTTTATTGCCTACGTATGGATCCCTAACCAAAATAGCTTTTTTTTTAAACCTTATATAAACTGAACCCTACTGTATTCATATTCTTGAGACTGGCTTGTGTCCCTCAAGCTTGTGAAATTAATCCATGTTGTCGAAATAGCTGTGGTTCTTTTTCTTTTAATTACTATAGTATTCCATTATATGACTATGTCACAATTTATCCATCTATTGTTAATGGACATACAGGATTTTTCCAGTTTGGGAATGACAGTCATTATATTAATATTGTTGTATCCATTAATATTGTGGTATCCATTTTCTCCAGTATTTAAACATGCAACATTCTTTTTGTTGATGGTGTTGAGAATTCATTCTACCTCTGGAAGCAGTGAAATCCCTAGGGGTAGAAAAATGCAAACTAGTTTGCACAAAGATTTGGATAGGTAGACAAGAGTCTCAAAGTGTGCTTGAAAATGTATGTTTGAAAACTTTGTGTTTCTCAAAGTGTGCTCCAAGATGGCCCACAACAAAATCATGTGGAGAATTTGGTAAATATACAGATTAAAGACCCAGTCCAAACCCACCAAACAAGACCCTCTGCAGATATGGCCTGGAAAGCTGTGTTTTAGCAAGTTTACCACCCACCCCATGACTCATGTAGATCACCAACCCTTTCCTTTTTTTTTTTTTTTCATTTGTTAGCATTTAGTTAAGCTCCCTCTTTGTGGCTTCAAGTCACCAGGACACAGCCTCCCTACTTCCCCCTATATATACATCCTTAGTCTTCTCCCAGCTCTCCTGCTGAAGAACTTGGCCTTCATGACAGCAGGCTACTTTGGAAGTTGCCCTTCCTCAGAATTCTGCAGTAGCCCATAGCACTCCATCAATGATGGGAGCAGCTCCAACCTGTTTTATTTATTATTATTATTATTGTTATTTTTGTCAGCGTGTGATGACTCATGTCTCTTGACTGACCAAGGTCTACATTTGTCAAGGTCGAGAGTTGGGCAGAAGCCCTGGTTTCTCTTTAAGTGGTAATGCCTCATAACCAACTTTACCAAAGTAACCTGGGTGACACTTGTGGAAGTTGATGCACGCCACCAGCATTCCCCTGGCCTCCCACGTGCTTCCTGTGCTTGGCCAGGCCTTTACTTTCCGTAGACGATACAGGTGTAATGGAACAAATCTCAGCGGTCGGTGCAATGTTAGGACAGGGGAAGGGGCAGTACTTTCGTGCCCAGAAAATCAGCTTCCCTTGATATGTCCTCCTTGGGCTGGCATGTCAACAGTCTCCAAGCAGACTTTGCCTTTAGCACACCTACACACTGTGGTCCTAGCCTTTTGCTTTCTTCTCCACACCTCTCTCCCTCATGCCCCAATCTCCTTACTATTCCCAAATGCACCAGAACACTCAGAAGTCTCATTTTAAGTAACTCCAAAGTCTTTCCATTACCATAGCAATGCTTTACCTAGGGACTTGTTTTAAATAGGCCTTCCTTTTTAGAGAAGTCTTAGGTTCACCGCAAAATTGAGCAGCGTTCCCATAGACTAGTTACACTGCTCTAAAAATCCTGTACTCTACCTTCTCTTCTCCACCTGCCCTCTGCCCATCAACCACTGATCTTTTTAAACCTGTCTCCAGTTTTTATTTTTCCAGAATGTCATATAATTGGAACCAAACAATATGTACCCTCTTCAGAGAAGCCTGAATCACTGAGTAATATAAAGTTTAGCACTGAATAATACTCCCCTGTGCATCTGGATATATCAGTTTATCCATCCATTAAAATGCTGAAGATCATCCTGGGTGCTTCCAAGTTTTGTCAATTATGCATGAAGTTGCTGTCAACATCCATATGCAGGTTTTTGGGCAGATGCTCAGGTTTCAGCCCATTTGGGTAAAACACCAAGAAGTGCAACTGCTAAAAAGTATGGTAACAGTATGTTCAGTTTAAGAAACTGCAGTGTCTTCTGAAGTGGGTGTACCGTTTTGTGCTCCCACAAGCAATGAGTGAGAGTTCCTATTGCTCCATGTCCTCACCAGCATTTGGTGGTGTCAGTGCTTTGGATTTTGGCTATTCTAATAGATGTGTAGTGGTACTTCTTTGTTGTTTTAATTGAGACATGTAGTTTTAAAACCACTACTCTTCACTTTTTTCTCTGTGTTTTGGGGGGTCTTGTGTTTTAAAATTTTGCAGAGCAAATTATGAGCAATTGATAGTGATCTTTCATTATTAAACATGATTTTATTTACAAATATTTCAGACTAACTCTCTTTTTTCCCTTTTAAATATAGATAAATGCAGAGGGAACACCAGAGGACGTTTTTCTTCAACTCTGCACAGCTATTGACTCTATTTTCTGAAGGCGAAAATGCATGTTTGTTAGAGTGGAAACAGAAAAACATTAAAAAGTTCATTCCTTAACACAATGTTTCAAGTTAAACCTTTTGTGCTCCCTGCCCCCACTCCCCCACCCCCTAAATCCTGACAGCACTGTTTGCTTCCCAGCTAGACCTGTGTGAGAGGTATCTGGAAATCATGCATGGTGTATTTGGGACTATCAACCTCTTCTCCACACTTCAGACAACTGTCTGCACTCACAGCACACACACTTTGTATCATGCAGGCCACACTCAGAGCTAGTCAGTACATAAACAGTGGTGCAGTACCAGTCTGTGCCTGTTGTGATTACAGGCCTTGCTAGACCCTGATCATCTGGTTCTCCTCTCATTAAGCATCCCTAACTCCCAGTCACATCTTCCTCTCCCCAAGATTTACATACTGTTCCCCAGTGGAGGCCCCTGGCACAGGGGACAGCCCTGGCCATCTTTCTTTGGTGTCTGGCTGTTTCGTCAACTCTCATCTTCTGGTGGCTCAGAGCCATAAGGTGAGTTGATTACACAATGCCTTGTACATGATATAGAGGCATCAAGCAAAATTTGACAGAAATTTTAAAATATGAAATTGTATAGCTTTTCCAAGATGGTAAAACCCACGTTAGTCATCAGTAACATTCTCTATTATTTTTAAGAACTTTGGAATACTGTCATTATGGCTAAGGGAACAAATGTGATAAATTGTGTAACCTAGTCTCTTCTCTACATGGTGATGCATTTCAGCAATTATAAATTAATATCAATGACCAAAAGTAATTTAAAAGCATGAGATATTTGCAATTTCATTCATTGGGCACATATCAAAGTATAATTTTGATTTTAAATGGTCACCCATTTATTTGTTTCCAAGCAAGTAAAAAATACTGTAACAAACCTGATGTGGGTAGGAGGGGCATGTCAGTAAGTGGTGTGTTCAATCTTGTGTTTGTTTCATATGGGCCCTTTCCAGAAGTTTGCAAACCTTGTCATACCCATATGCAAAATTGTGTTTCCTTGCATTAAACCAGTGAAGTTTGGGTTTTCTTTTGTGCTATCAGTTGTAAAATCAGAGCTTCTTATATATTCTACTGGAATAACTGCATCTTCCACTCAGTCACTACAAAAAAACATAGTTTCAGTTTGCATGATTTTTTTTTCTTCAATGGTTGTGCAGATAAGGATCCATTTCTGGGATAGAATTGTATTTTTTAAGTCTCTTTTTTTCTTGAAATGGATATGTACAAATAAAATAAATGGAAGACAGGATAACTCTTTTTCTATTTATTTGTAACTCACATCATTCTGGAAAGCATTTGAAGCCTTATTCCAAACAGAATTAGAGGTGAACACAGACATAGTCAAGATTTACGATACGCTTATATGTTTTTAATTTTAGCTATAGATCAGTTTTGAGTTATTACAGAGAGAACTCAATGTATCCACGATACATGGTAACTTTCATATTTCCTTTTTCTTTAGCACTCATTCTGAAACAGAAATCTCAGTGTTTGCTAAAGAAGAAATTAAATTTCTTTGGTTACAATTATGCCTCTATTAACAAAAGGGGGCATGTTCCCACAACTCCAACAGTTGTCATATACTTTACTTTATTACTACCCCAAGTTGTCACACTCTCTATCGGGGAGCATAAGTACTTGAGCAAACTGGAAACAAAAAAAGGTTACAGGAAGAAAATCATCAGTTGTGCCAGAAAACATAAAATGACTCTTTGTAGGGATTAACATTCTTGAAACACATACCATATACTGGCAAACACAGTCCATGCCCAGCACAGCTCTGACTGCATAGGTAAGGAAAATGAGACAGCAGAGGGGCAGAAAGGTCCAACCATCTTTTACAGGCTCTTACGGCTACAGCTGACAGCCACCTTGAAAAATTTAGCAAGGGTAAACGGCTTTGCCCCTGAAGAGTATCTAGAAGTGCAAATCAACTCTTCTCTAGAACACATTGCTGATTTGAATGGCTTGAAATGATATCACTACTTTAAAGTCGTAAGATTTTAATACTGGAAAAGACCTTAGAGGTCTCTGTCTAGCAAAAGACGTGTGTGTATGTAGAAGACATCAGAACATAATCTAAACTCCTTTACAATGATGTGTATTCAAGGCCACATCTGAGCTGGCCTGTGCCCTCTTTGATGCCATCAAGTACTACTCTCCTCTTGCTCATTTGGCTTAAGCTACTCTGGCCATCTTATGTTGCCAGAACAAGCCACAGTCTACTGGCTCATGGCCTGTGTGCTGTTGCTATCCTTCTGCCTCTTCCTACAGATTATTCATGCAGCAAATTCCCTTGCTCCATTCTGGTTTCTATTTGAATTTACCCTGGCCAATAGAGGATTTCTCTGCTTATTCCATCTAAAATGGCAGACGATTCGCCATTCTCCCATTATTATTTTTCTCTGAGCATATTTATCTTCTTAGCATTTATCCCTGCCTGCAATGAATAGTTTTTATTTTACTTACTTATTGCTGGTCTTCTGCATTAGATTTTAACCTCCATAAGGACACGGCTTGGTATCTCCAGTCCCAAACACAGTAATTACTATTGAGAGCTAACATATTTAACATACTCTTTGCACCTCCAGTTTTCTCATGTATACAATGGAGAACATAATAGAAATGAACCTCATAGAGGAACTGTGAGGATTAAACAAAAGTTAGTAAGACACACGAATCATTTACTAGCTCCTAACGTGCAATGAAAGGTAGTTCTTTGTAAACACTTACTGAATGATTCACTTCCACGACTGGGACTAAGACCCAGAATTTTCACTCCAGTGTCCTTTCCATTACCTTTTTTTTTTTTTTTTTTTTGAGACAGCGTTCTCCCCCAGGCTATTATGCCATGGCACCATCTTGGCTCACTGCAGCCTCAACTTCCCAAGTTCAGGTAATCCCCCAACCTCAGCCTCCCGAGTAGCTAAGACTACAGCCATGCGCCACCATGCCCGGCTAAATTTTTTGTATTTTTAGTAAAGACAGGGTTTTGCCATGTTGCCCAGGCTGGTCTTGATCAACTCCTGGGCTTAAGCAATTCACCTGCCTTGGCCTCCCAAAGTGTTGGGATTACAGACGTGAGCCACTGTGCCCAGCCTCATTACATTACTCTTAAAAACATGGAAGAGAATCAAGATACTAGGGCCCCACAGAGAACCAAAACCACGTCTGCCACCCAGTGTTGAACCACAGCCTTCGGGTAAGATAGAATCCAATTCCCCCGTCCTCTCACAGCACTGTCAAGATGACCTTCTGATGCAAGGCCTCTAAGGATCTCACAGACACACTCAGTAATAGGTGGTGTCTCTTAAGTTCCTGGAGAAAAAAAATGTAAACTCACCAAAATGTTGGTCATACAACCAACACATATTTATTGAGAATCGATTAAATGCCAGGCCCTAGAGATACAGACAGACATGGATGGTCTCTGTTCTCATGGAGCTAAATGTATTATAACTCTGAAAAGTCTAGTTAACTAGCTACATGAACTGTAGAAAAAAAGGGATCACATAAATAGAAGAACACTTTTCATCAAGAAATAAAAACAGTTTACAGCCTAAACAGGACAATGTCTTCATAAGCTTGTGGAAGAACCTACTGAAATCTGAAGACTTCCAATCCCATCCAGTGCATCCATAGATGAACAACAGGCTTCAAACTTCATTATCCACAATAAGAAATAGTTTTATATAGCACACAACACTTATATATATGATTGAAAAAGACATTTCACAAAACTATCTTTATTACATGTGATGTACCATTTTCTCTATTTCATTTTTTTAAATGTTCCTCATACCTAGCAAATTTTTGTGTTCTGTGAATTAATTTAAACAAAAAGGGGAAGGGGGGAAAACAGACAAGGCATACTATTAGGTTAAGTGAGAAGCACCCAACATGCATAGAAGAAAATCCTACCCGAGGCAGGAAACACAAGCTGTAGTCCCAGCTTCGCCTGAGACTTTGCAAGCCTGGACATATGCTCAGGTCTGTACTCTTAGAAAGCACACAACATCAGGAAAACAGAATGTAAGGCAACACCTGCACACCTCCACTCCTAACACCTAGTGTTGCCTGACACAAGGGGAAATTCCTGCTCAGGAAACACGGTAGTAAGGCAGACGCTGACTCTGAAGTAATCTGTCTAGGTTAAAATTCAAGCATCACCGCTTTACTAACTATATGACCTTGGGCAGGTTAGTTAACTTCTCTCTGGCTAGATTTCCTCATATGACAACAGGATAATAAATGAACCTGCCTCATACAGTTAAGAATTAGTTATTATATGCTTGCTTGGCACATAGTAAACACTGTATCAGTGTTTTCTATTATTATTATGCATCACACAAAAGGAAACCTCCTCTGCCTAAACCTTACAGCAATGGTTTTAGATATTAAAAGTTTCTTAAGATGTGCAAATAACTTGAGCACAATATATCAGGAAATAGATCTTATCTACTGAATACCACTGAATAAGCAATGCTTTAGCAAGTAGGTCTTTTACAGTCTGTTTTAGCTTTCAGTCCAATAATTCTCTGTAGGCAGATGGTGGCCGACTGGCAAATGACAGCTCTGCCCATTATTCCTGCAACTCTCAAATTAAAACAACAACAAAACACTACCTACTACTATCCGAACTTCAGGGCCTTTTAAAACCTTGGGGGCTATTTGCTTGGAGCTGAAAAATGCAAAACAAACACACCTTCTGCTCAAGCAGAAAAATCCTCTTTATTACTCAAAAATCTCAAAAAATGTTTGCCCTTGAAAAATGCATTCAAGTGGTTTGTCTATTCCATTTATATAACAATTGTATCACTCATAGCCCTCTTCCAAAGCATACATCATACTTTATGGAATTTTTGAATGGATCTGAATGGCTTTCCAAAACTAACTGGTATTATTTCTACACAAACATAGAAGTTACCATCAAGTGTTACTATCTTGTCTAATTACAAGTTGAAAGCAGATCTTCTGGCATATTCACAAACCATTTAATATAAAAATGCCCAGAATGCTAATGATTTCCCTCTTCACCCCACTAATAATTCCAGGGTGAGAAGTTAAGCTCAAGTCCATTACTTTTCCTTCTGTTATGATATATTATATCTATATCATCAGTGATCTTTAATCAATATATTACTTTAAAATTCTCATATTTCTATATTTAAAATTTTATTACTTTTCTCAATTAAAAAACAATTCAGGGTATGATTTTAGTACCCTGCTATGTACTGAAGAGAACTAGTAAATAATGTTCCCTTGATTTAAAATAGGAAAAAACAGGTGATTCTAAAAGTTGGGTCAAATATAACAATCAATCTTAGAATATTTATACTATCTTTTCCTATAGTTAATAATAATTTCCAGGAAACAAGGTGATTTTTCAAAAGCCATCTGTTTAAATACATGGGGGCTTATTTTCATGAGACACAACTAGAAAAAAAAATTTCAACTTTAGTATTCACACCTCAGCATTAATAACTGCCTTTTTCTTTAACCATGGTCTGTGTTTCCTTTTTGTAAGCTAGTTTAATTTAGTGTTTTGGCACACACTGAGTAAAAAACATTACCGTCTTTTACAGGGTTGCTTAAGATCACCCTCTTTTCCATAATATATTCCTTATTCTTCATAAATGACGGAAAGAAAACTCTTAAATATGTGAAGCAAACCATTTTTAAAAATACCAATTTCTGGTTTTAACACTGGTTAAAAAAAAAAATCCAAAATCTAACCAAAAGGAAGTCACAACAAACATTCTATAATATAAACAGACAGTATCCACATAGTTTATTTCTCACAGTTCTCCTGACAAATGATCATTCAAGAACATACTGTATACACAGATAAGAACATACAAAATGTTTTAAATGATGCACAACAAAATCCAGCAGTATAAAAGAATGCATGTGAACTCTTGCTCACTGCGCAGACTAAATTTAATCACTTGTTTAAATAGTAATAAAAATACAATCTTTTATGGATCTTGTGCAGACTACAAAAGAGGGAAATTATTACCATATATATGATTTTTATATTAGGCAGTTTTCTTTGATGAGTTGTACTGACAACTCCAAATACAGAGGCAGAAGGCTGTGTATTTTAAAGGAATTAATGTTGTGAATTAGAGACTTTACACAGTTACTACCACTGGCACTTTTCACCATAGTTTGTACACATCACATGATCATCTTATATAACATTACATTTAAAAATATATCTGAGTGACAATTTTATAACATTCACACACC